TTCATGTTCAACGGAATATCCCAGCTCTCAAATGGTATTCAATAACATCATAATCCATCAATGACATCAACAATAACACTGATAACAACAGTAACTGACATGCTCATGACTGCTGGTTGAAGACCTGAGACATTCGTAACCGAATCCAGTCTCCTCCTGACTCGATGGCTGTCTTATGTCATTATGTATACTTGGCACTATAAACTTTTCAGAACATCAGTTGAAATGATAAAATCAGTTGAAATATGCAACGCATGATCTAAGAAATCAATTTGCGGCTGTATCAGTTCAATGGGAAGTCCAACTTGTGGCAGCTTCATTGGGATGCCCTGGCTTAGTTGCTCGTTCAACGCCTGCAACACCATTAGATTATCAGGAGCATAAACTGGGGAATGATCGCTCACAGGCTGAACAAATTACTTAACACAAAATATTGTCCAAATCAATCCATAAGAATTTGTGTTTCAATCCAGAATGATTTTTCAATCAATCCAGAATTCGATTTCTCAATTGAATGCTATCCTCAATCAATGTTCACAATTGTCATTTCCATTCAATTCAACGATGTTCCAGTCGAATGGCAGATCACCTCATGATTTTTAATATGAATGATTATATCTGCTTCACGGGTGACAAATTAGCGATTTTGAATGTTTCCGATGAGAGTTTCTCTCGTAGAAACATCTTCTCAAGAAGAATTAATGAGGAACTGCATACCTTTAGTACCATTCGCTTCCCAAATTTCCTTAAATTGTTAAGATTTTCTTCCGGAATACCTAAACTGTTGTCGGTATCGTTCAGCTCGAGAACATTCAGGAATGCTTTCCCGAAAAGATTGCTCTGCCTGATCGAAAACACAAGTTTAGTCAGTGTGGTGATTTTCAACGATCCAATGAATGTTTCCGAATCATCAATAAAGAAATCCACGGCTAAAATAATGTCGACAACGACGTTCCCTGAAACGTCCTTCCATTAGCTACGCATAAGGAACACTAAAGAGTGAACTAGCCCTTACGACTGATAACCTATTAGTAACTTACATCCGTCACTTATATCTATATTTTGCAGGTGATATGTGACATGAATTTAAAAGGTGGGCAGTGTTCATGCGTCTGTTTATCTGATCGTGTGTGATGCGAAGTCATCACCCAAATCATGCACAAAACTCAAATCTAATGGCAAATTCAAGCGCCTAATTATTGCTTGTTCAACAGTCATACCAAACTGTTCCAAAACCAAATGTTAAGATTTTCGTGCGTGTAGTTGAGGTTCTGAAACTTAAGCTAAACAATATCATAGAGTTCAATTTAACCCAACTATCTGTTCATGAAGCATACAGATCCAATGTTCTCTTGAATGATGGTTCTCACCTGACCTTTTGAAGATCACAGATGGTGCACGAGCGCTATGCATGTGAACATTCAAGTATTTATTCGGGTGATTATGGCCAACTTTAGGCATCAGTAAACCAATGCAATCACCATTATCGGTGAATTTATCTTCGGCGAATGGACGATCAACGTTATCCATTTGAAAGAAATCTCTCATCAGCAGTTATGTTTTCTATCAATTGAATAACAACAACGACAAAGACAAAATGAGACTTACAATTACTAAATAAAACTAGGTGATCCCATAGGATTAATAAGAACAAGATAATGTGTTTCTCTGAAGAGGTTCCAAAGTTAGATGCTGAACTTGGTACCTTCCTATGGAAGCCGTCATCCTGCACACAGGTTGTTCGTAAGAACTGCTTGCCGTTTCGGATCGTATGCGGCCGAATTTTCAGCGACAGCTTCTGCTTCCTTTAAATAGAACAGTTAGGTGGATTGGAAATCTTCCACTGATTTTACCATGCGCAATTACATGTTCAAAAAAGTTCTGCCTCAACTGAGTAGGTATCCCAGCATAACGACACAATTTTTCGTGTTGATACTGTTTCGACCACCACAGCTTCTCGTGATAANTTTTGTTGCCTTATCCATGACCAGACAAATACTTTTGATCACATCACATGAGCAATTCAAACGATTCAATACGTAAATTCGAATGGATTAATTGTCTCAGAACCGCTTACTGGTGAATATGGTACAAGAGAGAATTGAGTGTGAAGTCACCAATCAGTATTTCGGCCATTCGTTGCTCAACTCGTTGCGGAAATACCATCGGAAATGCTCCGAAAAGGGTGTCTGGGTTTGACCGAGCACTGAACTCGCCGTTAACGTCCACTGTTTGATCGTTTCTGGTTGAGTTAAAGCTTTTCAGACTTACAGAAAGCGATATATCATCAAGACTCTCCTAAATGCACCTATAACATCATTTATAGAAGCAACGAGAGCAATAATCCTATCTGTCACCTCGGAGCATGCAAAACTCGATTACAGTAACTTAATCATTAGGCTCGAGCCAATAAAATGAGTTCCATTTCATCCTTTTGATAATAATGAAGTCATCTTTAACATTGCATTTCTAAAAGTAGCGACTTTCATTGTGACACATTCAATCGGTTCTCTTGCGTTGAACCAACAAGATAATATTCCAGCTGGCCAGCCAAAGCTGCTAATAATTCTTAGCTAGCCAACTGAAGAGATCGGAAGTGTGCTTGAAATTGTGAGCATGTTGAATAAATCCAAATCATTTGATGCAACTCACCGCGTCAAACGACTGCCTCAGAAGCATCCTGATTGCTTCAAATTTCTCGGTTAGAATTTTTGACGGACAAACGGCGCAGAGACGTTGAAGTATATTTGTTTGAGATGATATTCTTGGAGTAGCTCTTTCCTCCGGATGCATCAAATCATCATCACTTTCATCTATCCCCATGGCAAAACTGTGATCACTTATGTCCAACAATAGTGATAACCAATTACGTATAATCAGTTCCAATGGTTCAATTAAATGAACATAAACAGCTGCCAGTTTGAATTGTTTTGAATGGAGATACTTAGGAAATTGCTGGTTTCGTGGATGTTTTCTCCGGCTGAATCTAGCCGTAGCGGATGTTATAGATGTATCTGCTTCGAACACTGCTGCTTGTTGTTGACAATTAATCATGAAACACTGGAAATTTCTCCTTGAATTGCATGATAACTCATTGATTTGATTGAGCTCAGTGAGCTGTACACATCTGGTTTTCCAGGCAAAATGTACGTATCCCATGGAATTTGCAGATGCAAAGAAATTCGAAAATGAATGAAACCTAGTCGGTTGATCTCAAATCCCTAGCATCGCATATGCTTACGAATGAGAATTTCGAAAGCATGCTTCATCCATGACAAGAACCATCAACTCTGTCGAACGACTAGAGATTCAGTTCTGTTGCAGAATCGATGATGCTGCATTGAAGTACAATGATCACTCACTTGTTGTGGTACACGCACGTATCGAAAATATCTTGCGAGCAGCGGAATAATCGTATCAAATTGGATTGCTTCAGGGATCTGCTTTAAGAGGCGACTTAGTTTCTGTTTTGCGATTACAGGTACCGCTCTGCATAGCTCCGATGGTAGAGCAATTTTGACCTGTGCGATTATGAATGTCTGAAAATGGCATAGACTTATCATCAACAGTGTTTGCTAAAAGCAGTAGAAATAAGAATAATAATATTATAAAGTTAATATAAATGCAAATTCCATGTATTAGGTGCGGTATAGGTGCGGGAATGATGATTTGCTTTTATCGGTGAAGCGTGATTAGAAAGACGACAGGAGAATGCCTTAAGAGAAAAGTATCATTTACCCACACTATAACAGATGATGT